ACGTAAACTTTTTCGAACAACCGCCTGGCGAAGACCATTTGCCATCCAATTTAAGATCGCATTCGACAAATTTCTGCAATATATCAAAAGTTCCAATCCATTTAATTCGTTTACTATCATAACTTAAGTTGGAAGAAGCCATATGATTACAAATTTCTTTAGCGTTCCATATTTTCGGGATATTTTGATGGAATTTTGTAGAGCTCACAAAATTAGAACTGTCCGCCATGTTAGGTCTAAAATCGTTCATCAACATGAACAACGCGAGCCTGCGTTTAGTGTTGGAGTAATTACGAATACTTCATGTTGAAACAATAAAACAATAAACGTGATTTGCTGATTCGTGGTCACATGGCCTGAGATAACTTCAATATATTTGCCCGGACAATAGGTGAAATATTATGTCCGCTCAGACTGCCAAAACAGTTATGGCAGAGAAAACTAAAAAAGCAATGTTTTTCGAGCCTGTCAAGCAAGGAAATTCAGAATCTAATAGGAAAAATCTGAAAACACGCAAGAAATGCTGTGCCAACCCTTCTAGCTATAGAGACCTCAAGATGTTGGACGGAAAAGTGGCGACGACGGCCAAAACAGATTAATTCAAATAATTGATTGTATAGAAAGCTTATCGTATATTATCAATCGCATGAATTTAACACAGCTTGAAGAGAACGCACACTGTTCATTCGTGCCCAACTACGTGCGACAAAAACCCTAGCGTGCGGGAAAATATTCAGGTTTTTTGTCACTGGTGTCGTGAAAAACAAATATCAAACATGTTTGATATTTTCTGTAATTCGTGATAAGAATTCCAAGAGTGCGGCAAACACGAGCTCGTTCGCAACTTTTCACAGCAACAAGTGCGCATGCGTGATATTCCCCAGTACAGCATGGCAGATAGTGAACATACTAGTGAGCTGGTCAACAAAGCAATTTTGAAGGATAAATTCGTGCTATCTGGCCGGAATTAGTCCATAAGATTATTATAGAGCTTTTGTCTTCTCGAAATCTATCGTTTCGTCCATAGCTCGTGATCATAGCCGCCCTCAGACGCATTCGATGTCGCCGTATCAACAAAAGAAGTAGCATGATATCTTCGTCGTCTCACAAATCATCTTGTTTACTGCCCGCCATTTTGTTTTGGGGAATATCACAAATGGGCACTTCTTTGCAACGAAAGGCTGCGATAATCTGTTCTGCCGTACACTAGAAATTTTTGTCACAAATGACAGAAAATATCAAACATATTTGATATTGATTGTTCACGACACGAGTGACAAAAACATGAATATTTCGCTCGCACACTATAATTTTCGTCGCATGTAATTAATCACGAATGACAAGTGTGCGTGCAACGTGCATTAGTACGCACCGGGCTCTAGAACTTAAAGTAAATATTTTGCAATGAAATCGACTTATCTCAGACGAAAATAATTGAATACTTCGAGTAAATGTCGAAGGAAGAATTCAACGAACTTCTGATTGCCTTTACCCAAATACGAGGAAAACGAATGGTGAAATCCAGAGATATTTTTACTGAAAAGGACTTTTAATAGAATTAGGGAGCATTCATAATTTATGTGGTGAAGGGCTATGAGAATTTTGCATTTTGGAATGTTTATTTGGCAAGACCCCCCCCCCCAAAAAAAAAAAGCTATTTCAATAAAACTTTTAACTTTTATTTAATTTAAAGCATTTTATCTCTCATGAGGGTATTTTAAACAGCACATTTTGATAATAACAATTTTAATGAAATAAACATATGCAGTAAACGTCTGCAATGCAACAAAATCTGGAAATTTTGCTGTGGCGGCTTTTATAAAAGATGGTGGGAGCGCAGTTGTTTAGTCTAAATGATTAAAAGATGGTGGCCCTGAAAAAATTCAAAACCTTGAAGATCGTATAAACCTTAAACTCTAAGCGTGCAAAGCATCATGGTTATGGCAAAAAATTAGCTATTTTCATGCCCCCATGATGTTTGCACGTTAAGAGTTTGGTGTTTAATGCTTAATTAAGGTTTTGACTTTTTTCAGAACCTTTTTTGAATTAACCCTAAACATTGTGCAGTATTTTGGTCTACAGTATGTACACCTCAGGCAACAAATATCTTTGATACTTATCTATATATTAGTGTTGCACAACCGTTGAGTATCAACTCTTTGGAAAATAAAATTTATTGTGGTTACCGGACCATATATAACTATTTTATTAATATATTCGCGACATTTGGCACACGTTCATCTTGGTTGTAGCATAGTAATAGTAATAGTAATAGTAATAGTGATAGTGATAGCGATAGTGACAGTGATAGCAATAGCAATAGCAATAGCAATAGCAATAGCAATAGCAATAGCAATAGCAATAGCAATAGCAATAGCAATAGCAATAGCAATAGCAATAGCAATAGTAATAGTAATAGTAATAGTAATGGTAATAGTAATAGTAATAGTAACAGTAATAGTAATAGTAATAGATAAGTAATAGTAATAAGTAATAGTGATAAGTAATAATAATAAGTAATAGTAATAAGTAATATTAATAGTAATAGCAATAGCAATAGCAATAGCAATAGCAATAGCAATAGCAATAGCAATAGCAATAGCAATAGCAATAGCAATAGCAATAGCAATCCAGATGATCTTGATACGCGGAAAAGTACTGGCACTAGTTGTCAAATAGAAATCCATTTTATGATTAAAACAACTGAATATCTCCTGTAATATACTTTATTTCGATTCCATATTTTTGTCAGAGCTATAGTTCTCATAACCAAACATAATTACAAAATTTGAACTAGTTTCATAAAGAATAACGAAAGATATAATTGACTGAATTCATCAAAATGGATTTCTATTCGGACAACCCTTTCTGAGCGCTGATTGGCTAAAATACGAACACGAGATCACCTGGATAGCAATAGCAATAGCAATAGCAATAGCAATAGCAATAGCAATAGCAATAGCAATAGCAATAGCAATAGCAATAGCAATAGCAATAGCAATAGCAATAGCAACTATTTTATTAATATATAATAATAACTATTTTATTAATATATTTGCGACATTTGGCACACGTTCATCTTGGTTGTAGCATAGTAATAGTAATAGTAATAGTAATAGTAATAGTAATAGTGATAGTGATAGCGATAGTGACAGTGATAGCAATAGCAATAGCAATAGCAATAGCAATAGCAATAGCAATAGCAATAGCAATAGCAATAGCAATAGCAATAGCAATAGCAATAGCAATAGCAAAGCAATAG